AGGGTGATTATTTTGCATCTTGGTATTTTGTTGAGGTTTGTGTAATCCTTCTTTGCAGATGTGCCTTATTTTTTGTCTGTAGGCCTTATAGGAAAAGACTTGTGGCTTGAGCTGAAGCCTTGCTTTAACGTGACCGAGCTTGGGGTTTCCGAGCCTCCAGAGGAGGAGGTTTCCCCTCTGAAAATCAACCGAAAACGAAAGAGGGGTGGGAGAAAGATCGGGGGGACCTCTGCCCCTCATGAGATAGGGGAGGTTGCCTCCCAGGTTGTGGAAGCTGGGGTGGTGGACCGTGCTGAGAGTCCGCCGTCGGAGGGGATCGATCGTGTGGCTGCCGAAGAGGTGGCGTTGGCTGCTGAGCCAGTTGTTCAACCCGGCAAGGTGCCGGCTCAAGCTATTGAGCGGGTTGCCGTGGTGAGTATTTTTCTTTTCTTAGTCTTGTTTCTATTTTCTTCATTTTTGACTTGAGGTTGTTTTCTATAGGCAGTGGATGCCGCCGAGGAAGTGATCCGGGGTGCAGTACCTGTTGCTCCGGTTGGCGAGGTAAGTCGTTGGCCCTTCTGTGGTATTTGGCGTTTTACCCTTCTGTTTACATTTGTTCTTAGAAGAGTGTTCTTGCTTTTTGCAGGCGGGGAGCGGCACTGGGGTATCTGCGCCTACTTCCGCCGAGGTCCGTAGGGAGGGGTCGAGCTCCGGGCTCCCTACCCCTGGTTTGAAATGTGGGAAAAAGCCCTTTTCTTTTTCTCTCCCGCATCTCTTCCCATTCACTCCACTTTCTTCTACTCTTTGGCTTCTTGGGTACGATAGTCCTCTGTGCCTTCTCGTTCCTAGCTTTCTTGCTTTCGTTCGTCTTTCGTCTTCGTTTTCACAATCTTTCTTCGAGTTTGCTTGATGGCTGGTGGTCGTGGCGCCGGTTCTTCTGCGCCTGCCAGGGGCAAGGCGCGCGGCAAGGCGGCGGCTACTGGGAAGGGTGTCGCCGAGAGGAGAGACCCGCCCCCGCCTAAGGACCTGGAGTCAGGTGTTCCTGGTTACGACTGGGTCAAGCGCGAGATGGGGGGCATCCAAAGTGTGTTCAGGTCGCGTCTAGAGGTCGATGCGGTTTGGGAGACGCACCGGATTTGCGACCCCACCATTTCCCGGATGATTCGGCTCGAGCCCTATCTGGCTGGTGAGGGTGTGTTCATGGGGAAGCCGACCGATCCCCCCCACTTTTATGTTTATCAGAGTTTCTTCAGGGACCTAGGCGTTTGTCTTCCTTTCACTCAGTTTGAGTGTGATTTCTTGAACTACATCAACGCGCAACTCGGAGTACTCTAGTCGCCATTGAGCGCGCCCCGGAATGCATGCCACATATCCCCTGGTGAATTTCCCTGATGACGTAGGTTTCCTGAGACGCAGTCAGGCATTTGAGCAGCGGAGAGGAAATGGGGGTTTTTTGAGGGTGTTTCAGGTCCTGTGTGCGGTCCTAGGGCTGGAGTTGTCCCTTCGCGTTTTCCTTCATTTCTATCAGCTGAAGCTAGGCGTTCCGCCGTATGGCATTCTTTCTTTGAACGGGAGTAAAGAAGAGGGTTTATTCACTCTTTACTCCCAATCTTATAAGAATTTCAAATCCGAGTTTTTCCGGGTAGTCCTCGTGACGTCGACCCTTTGGAGGATGGGGATTTCTACTTTGGTGGACTGCCGAAGTTCCCCTTTTACTGGTGCCCTAAACCGTCTAGGTTTCACGGGGTGAACCCTTTGGAGTTGACGGCTTCGGAGGCTGCCGTCGTTAAGAATCACTCGGCTTTGCCTCGCCCGTTGAATTACAAGTCGATCTTGTGGCTTGCGAACTCGGTGCACAGGGAGAGGGACCTGGAGGGTGATTATTTTGCATCTTGGTATTTTGTTGAGGTTTGTGTAATCCTTCTTTGCAGATGTGCCTTATTTTTTGTCTGTAGGCCTTATAGGAAAAGACTTGTGGCTTGAGCTGAAGCCTTGCTTTAACGTGACCGAGCTTGGGGTTTCCGAGCCTCCAGAGGAGGAGGTTTCCCCTCTGAAAATCAACCGAAAACGAAAGAGGGGTGGGAGAAAGATCGGGGGGACCTCTGCCCCTCATGAGATAGGGGAGGTTGCCTCCCAGGTTGTGGAAGCTGGGGTGGTGGACCGTGCTGAGAGTCCGCCGTCGGAGGGGATCGATCGTGTGGCTGCCGAATAATGCACGTACCTTGGTGTGATTTAGGGTTGCTTTGGGCCTTGGACCTGAGATGAGATGTAATATGATTAGATAACAGACCTCGTCTGGGGCGAGATCCTCGGGGATCAGTTATGATTCACTTAAATGCCGAGCTGATGTCACACGGTGCGCGTCTGAGGTCGGCTTGCGTTGTGGTGCCGAGCTCGGAGCCTGACTTCGTAATACGGATAGTATACTAACCCCCCGAGCTCCAAAGACCGTAGGTCGAGGAGTTAAGACCGAGCTCGCTGGGGGGAGGTGACATTTCGCGTACGTTTGCTCGTTGTGGTTCCATGTGTCGCGACTGTTCATTTCCCGGAAACGTGCAAGTGGCGCGTTATGGGAAATGACGGTTATGTAATGATGGGTTTGCAATTAATTGTGTTGTCAGGCGTGTCCCCTGACCGACACGTGGCGTGACGGTTTTGAAATGTGGGAAAAAGCCCTTTTCTTTTTCTCTCCCGCATCTCTTCCCATTCACTCCACTTTCTTCTACTCTTTGGCTTCTTGGGTACGATAGTCCTCTGTGCCTTCTCGTTCCTAGCTTTCTTGCTTTCGTTCGTCTTTCGTCTTCGTTTTCACAATCTTTCTTCGAGTTTGCTTGATGGCTGGTGGTCGTGGCGCCGGTTCTTCTGCGCCTGCCAGGGGCAAGGCGCGCGGCAAGGCGGCGGCTACTGGGAAGGGTGCCGCCGAGAGGAGAGACCCGCCCCCGCCTAAGGACCTGGAGTCAGGTGTTCCTGGTTACGACTGGGTCAAGCGCGAGATGGGGGGCATCCAAAGTGTGTTCAGGTCGCGTCTAGAGGTCGATGCGGTTTGGGAGATGCACCGGATTTGTGACCCCACCATTTCCCGGATGATTCGGCTCGAGCCCTATCTGGCTGGTGAGGGTGTGTTCATGGGGAAGCCGACCGATCCCCCCCACTTTTATGTTTATCAGAGTTTCTTCAGGGACCTAGGCGTTTGTCTTCCTTTCACTCAGTTTGAGTGTGATTTCTTGAACTACATCAACGCGGCCCCTTGTCAGCTGCACCCCAATAGTTGGGGTTTTTTGAGGGTGTTTCAGGTCCTGTGTGCGGTCCTAGGGCTGGAGTTGTCCCTTCGCGTTTTCCTTCATTTCTATCAGCTGAAGCTAGGCGTTCCGCCGTATGGCATTCTTTCTTTGAACGGGAGTAAAGAAGAGGGTTTATTTCGCTTCAAGTTGTTGCCGCAACTCCGGATTCAACTGTCTGCTGATCTTCGTGGTTTGCCCGAGGAGTTCCCCGACCTGGAAGTCATCGAGTTCGTCAACAGGGCTAGGCTGCTTGTCATGAGCGTCGGATCTTGGATCGAGGTTGGTGATTTCTTCGTGGTTGGAGTGAGCCACGGTGGTAAGGTTGCTCTTGCACTGTTCACCGAGTGAGGTGATTTTCAGGCTTTCGGTGTAGCATTGTCGTGCCATCTTCTGATTCGCTTTGACGGAGATAATCTTCCCATCATGCCCTGGGAATTTCATGGTGAGGTGTGGGGTGGACACCACCGCTCCGAGTTGATTCAAGGTCGGCCTGCCGATGATGATGTTATAGGAGGTGTCGGCTTCCACGAGGAGGTATCGAACCATGACCCGCCTTGAATCCGGAGGTGCTCCGAAAGTCGTCAGTAGGTCCACGTACCCCCGAGTGTGAACGCTCCTTCCTGCAAAACCGACTACGGGTTCTGTGTGAGGTTGTATGAGAGAGTGGGGGACGTCTAACCTGAGGAACGTTGGCCAATATAGGATGTCGGCCGAGCTCCCTTAGTCGACCAGGGTCTTGTGAACCTCCCAATTGGCTAATGTCACGGCGATAACCATGGGATCATCCTGGTTGGGGTTGACCCCGGTATAGTCATCGTCGGTGAAAGTGATCGTCGGCGAGCTCTGGTGCGAAGCAGAGGTGGTGAATTGTACGTGGTTGACGTTGCGCAGGTGTTTTTTCCGGGCGGAGCTGCTGGCTCCCCCTCCTGCGAAGCCGCCTGCAATTGTGTTGATCACTCCCTGTGGGGGAGTTGATCCTGCTTCCTGGTTTACCTCGGCTCACACTGCTCTGCCAGGGTTGGGTTGAGGGCCGGGGGGATGATCAGAGTGTCGCCGCTGGGGTTGAGCGCGAATCCTCTTGTTTTCCGCGCGCAGAGCCACTAGGTCGACCTCATTAGCGGTCCATATTGCGGCTAGACCGGTGTCGTGCTGGGCACGCATGCTTTGCAGATCGGCGGCATCTGTTCGACCTGATCGATTAGTCTCCTCAACGTTGCTTCGTTATCCATGGTAGATGAGTGGTTTGCATCGTCTGTCGTGCGTCTACTATGGCTTCTGGTGAAAACCATAGGCGTGGCCGATAAGAGTTGTCTTGATCAGCCCGACGGTGGGAGCCAAATGTTCTTACCGGAAATCTGCTGTAGAGCTGATCTGCCAGGTAAGATCGGTGAGCCTCCTTTACTGGTACGTTGGTGCTCCAAGATGGGGGTGGTACCTACAAAAGAGACTCCGATACTAAAGTTAGTGTTTGTGTGAGTATTAGTCTCGTATATGTAATGCACGTACCTTGGTGTGATTTAGGGTTGCTTTGGGCCTTGGGCCTGAGATGAGATGTAATATGATTAGATAACGGACCTCGTCTGGGGCGAGATCCTCGAAGATCAGTTATGATTCACTTAAATGCCGAGCTGATGTCACGCGGTGCGCGTCTGAGATCGCTTGCGTTGTCGTGCCGAGCTCGGAGCTCGGCTTCGTAATACGGATAATACACATCATATTTGAAAATTCAGACGAAACATTACATTTACATGAACAGTTTGTCCACAAACAACATTTCACATTTACATGGCCAAATACATGAGACAAATTTTCACAAGGCATTCGCATTCTATAGCTAATTTTCTTTATCTGATGACTGAGTTTCAGGATATGCTGGAGGACCCCGAAGAAATGTGACCTCCCTGGTCTGAACTTTTTTCATGAATAAGTGGTTCAGAGACAGAAGAGGCATGAGGAGTAACTCCCAAAGTTGCCTGTTTTTCTCTATAAGATGCCCAAGTAACTATGTACAGACCAGCAATGATTAAAGATCCCCCTATGATGCTATCATCACATGGATTAAAAAATAAGAATAAGATAAAGCTTCTAAATACAATAATAATGTCAGAACGCAATGCAGTAGAAAGAAGTGAAACTTCGTTAACTTCAACTATTTAAGGGATTTTATTAATCACAAAACTTAGATACAATATTTATACGTTTAATTAGAATTACAGTTTTAGTTCGATAATATCTATAAATATTTAATAAAATATTTTATTTTATATATTATTGATGTGAAACTTTAACCAAACAGTATCTTTATAGTATTATATGGATGTTTTATCCTTTTATTAAGTACTATTAGTAAACTTGTTTCAAAAAATGAAGCAGTGGATTGCATTTTTTTTTAAGTTTAATAGGTATGCTATATTAGTATTAAATTTTTAACACTGTCAACTAATTAAAAAAATATTATTGATTTGATTTTTAGAGTCGTTATTATAAAAGTTTATAAACTTATCATACATATTAGTTTGCACTTAGATAACAATATAAAAGATCATTAGACAAGCACTACATATATGATTTGTTCTTTTTTCTTAATGTTTTACCCTTCACAATTGGTGAGTAGTTTGAAGCCACTTGATCAATTTAGAAAAGAATGCATCAATAATTTGAAGAGTAGGAGCTATACCTTCCCAAGTAAATTGGAGTGCCAAGGAAAATTTGGGAGAGAAGGGAAGAAAACACAGGTTGAAGCGGTTTGTAAAGGGAAACCATAGCTGGCCCCAAGATCTTATTGCTCCATGAAACGATTGCATAGTTAAGGGCAGATGCAATAGTTCCCTGAATAGATAAGGAGATTTTTTTGTCAAAATCTACATGCTAATAATCCATTAGAAGAGGACTAAATTAAAAAATGTTTAAGAACTCGACATATATACAGAAGAATGCTTTCAATCTATTCATCCCTTAAATAAAACTCCCACCTCGCTCTACTTTAGTAGTTTTCATTCCACTGTTATATTACCTAAATACAATTTTCAATGAAACATTGATGTCAACTTTCACTTCTGTGCTAGAATGCAGGTCATTTTTGCCCTCCATTTAACAATCTTGCTTCACCAGACAAAACAAATTGCTAAACATCACAGCAAAATCCCAACTTATTATGAAGTCTTAAGCTTAACTATTTCTATTGTTAGGTAGAAACAATATTGTGGCTTTTGCCGAAAAGGTCAGTGCTTAGTTGAGTTGATTAGGTAAGCATATCTACGTGGTTCATACAGATGAGTTGGGGTCACACTAGGACACATTTTGCGTTTAATTAAATGCTTTACAAAAATTACATTAGTGATATTCTGGATACATTTTTAGGATGAAACTTCCATCTAATTCTATATAAGATTAATTGCTCTGTTTGTCACCTATATTTCACATTTTTACTAATTTTCTCATCAAACTTTCAAAAATTTTCATTTTTGTCATCAATTAATTGACCATTGATGTAATATGTTGATTGTTGACATGAATTTTTGATGTAACATATATATATATATATATATATATATATATATATAT